ACGTGGAGCGGTTCTTCAACTACTGCGGGCTGGACCCCGAAGAGCTGGAGAACCTGGGCATGGAGAACTTTGCCAGGGCCAACTCCGACATCATATCCCTCAACTTCCGCAGCGCCAGCATGATCAGCTCAGACTGTGAACAGTCTCAGGACAGTAACAGTGACCTTAGAAATGATGACAGTGCCAATGACCGGGTGCCCTACGGCATTTCTGCCATCGAGAGAAATGCCAGGATCATCAAATGGTTGTATAGCATCAAACAGGCTAGAGAATCCCAGAAGGTCTCCCACGTGTAAGAGGAAAGGGCGCGCAGCGGAGGGAGGGGGGTCTCTGTGCATCCGCAGTCGTGAAGGTTGTGAGGTCTCCTTGCAGTGTTGTGAGCTTCGCCGCTCTCTTTGTGTTGCTTGTTGTGCAATGTCTTTCAAGTTGCATGCCTGCCAACATGGGGCCTCACCTGGCTTCCACGTCCACCATCGCCGCAGAGCCTGGCTGAGCACACCGTCATCTGCCAGAAGTTTCTGGCCAGATGATATTTAGGGCTTCAATCTTCAGCAGAACTGTTTACACGAAAAACGAAAACGGTATACAACTTCAATATTTATGTGGTTCTTTGTGTTTTTATATCCCGCGCTATTGTGTCTTAATTAAAAGTTTTATCAACTGGCTTTTAAGTTGAGAGTAGCATCTTTTTGAAATAAAAAGCCAATAATGCCAACCTGTGACACCGAAAAGACGGGAAGATCAGGGGGCTCTGCTGCCCAGCGGAGATAGTGACTGACGGAGAGAGCCAGGCGAGGCTCTCAGAGGAAGAGAGCGATGTTAGCCACTTACCTGTTGAAGGTGTCTGGCCACTTAAGAGACGGCGGGGACAACAATGCTACGTCAGTTTTGTGTCCTATTCGGTGTGTAAATGTGGGTGGTTCTGTGGAATCCTGACCCCAAGGAAAGACAATCAGAGGCCATGAAGGTGATTAAATCAGATCGGGTGTTGCGGGAGGCTGATACTGTTCTGATTTGGGTTGATTCGAAATTTCTCCTGTTAATCTCCTGTTAATCTTTTAGGGTGGCAGGAGTGGCCACCCTAAGGCTGAATCTGAATGTCTTTTTTTTTTTTAAGTTGGTTTTTTGGTCAAGAACTAATTCCAGGCGGATTCTCTTCCCTCCCTGTGTTGTTGTAGCTGGGAGAGGGCAGCCAGGCTGGGGCAGTGGGAGCCATCTGAAGACATGAACTCAAAGGGAGATAGCAGCCATATCACTAGAGAGACTCCTATTCAAACGTCAATACTTTTGGTAGCAAACCCATATCTGAGCAGCATGGCTGAGTCCCTGTGCATATGCTAACCCGTCAGGCTGTGGACCCTCATTAGGGCTCTAGGAAACTGTAGAAACACCACTCCATGTAGTCTTCCCACCCTGTGGTCTCCAGTGCTACATATCAGCTTGTTCCCCCCACCCTAACCTGCCCCCCAGGTGGTCCCCCTGGCTGTCAATCAATCAGCTGACAGTCGGGATGCGGTAGGCAGGGGTCCACCTGCGTTGATCGGCTTCATTGCCCTGTGGTCATGCCCCAGAGCTGTTGGCAGCACTGCCTTAGACATCAGCTCAGAGGACATTTTTTTATGGTGTAAATGCTGTAAGACTCTGTACATACTTCAGTTGTTATGAAATCTTTAAGGGAAAAAAAAAAGGCAAAGTTACTCTAATAAACAGCTCTGGTGCAGGCGCTAACGGTGGTGGTTTCTCTTTGTCCGCTCCTCTGCCCTCCATGGAAGTTCCACTTTGGACTGTGAGCTGAGTTTTGATGGTCTTGAAGAGACAGCACTTCATTAAGTTCTTTTCACCAGATCACAATTATTCTGAACAGCCGTGTTCTTCCTCGTCGCTAGAGCAGTGTGCTTTGTGCTAAAATAGTTTCACCAAGGTTCCGAAAATATGCTGCTGCCTCTTTACTCAGTTCACTCTTAGATTATTTTTATCTTTTCTTAAACATATTCCACCTGGCTCTTCAGTTGTAAATACGTGTGAGTTCTTACAGTGGAGACATACCTTTGAAATGTATAGCCTTGTTCTTATTTGTACAAGTCCATTGTCATTAACATTATGTGGATTCATACACCAGTCCGTTCAGTCATTCATTCTTCATTCCTCTTTTAAAAGTGCATTTGAAGAGTGATTCCTTTTTCAGAGCCCCCTGTAGACACAGGACTGCTGTGGTCAACAGCACAGTGTCTGCCTTGAAGAACTTAGATTTTCACATTTATTTTAAGAGAAATGTCAGTCCCCTTAGTGGACCTGTCTTTTCTCCTATTATTAGGACATTGAGTATTCAACAGGTGTTCATTAAATCAAGTTACTTGCAGATTATCATTTCTTAAAAAGTTCCATATCACACGTAAAGGTAAAAGAAAGGATTATTTTAAAAGTAAGTTACAGAAACAAATGATACGATTCCACTATTACTGTTCACAGACATCTTCCTTCTGAAAATCAAATCTGGTTCCTTGACTCTCTACTAGTTCTGAATTTTTCTGGTTCTCTGCTTATTTTTAAGTTCAACTAGAACACCACTTCCCAGAAGAAAGAATTTGAAATTCTGCTGTGAGTGGTGATGACCCAGTGCATTCAAGATAATAGGACGAAAGTTTTACATATTTATATATACACACACACGTTTTCTTCCCTCGCCGTTTGGGCAGAAATGTGGCTGTTTAAAATAGTCATAGCTTAGCATTTATACATCCGTCTACTTCTGGAGCTATTGAAACACTAAAGATCAATGTCATTTTCGTCAGGTAGCCAGTTTTGGAGGGAGAGGAGCACTGAGCTGAGTTACCGTCTCTGCCTGTGCTGTTTTAGTTATAGATCCTGTTTGAATCTTCCAACACTTCAAATCACATTTGACCTGTATTCCAACACAGCTACAAGCTGTCCCGCTGCAGCTGGCCCACAGTACAGGGACTGGAGTTCGGTCCAGTCTTCTGTGGCCTTGTTTATACCATGGATGACTGTGAGGCTTTTGGTCCTGACGGAAGATGGGAGCTCATTATTTTCTTTTTGTTCTTGAAATTAGAGTTTCTATAAAGGACGATTTCAAATGCTTAATATTAAATTGTAAGAGCAAGACATTTCCCAGTCAAGTGCTTTTGCAAAACGCTCACTTTTTTAGCTCTTGGCAGTATCATGTGTGTGTGAGAGAGAGAGAGAGATGATACTGCTGGTATGAATACAGGGCTGTGGTACAGGTCAGCAGCCTTTCATTCCCCACTGCCATGCAGACCACTGTATTCTAAGGCAGTCGTCCCACATCCACCCCCCCCCACTGCCTCAGTTTAGGCTCACATCCAATCTTAATCTATTGTTCCTAGAACTTTCTAACTGGAAGCTCTCTCTTCCCCCAGTCAGCCTCTTACATCCCATTTCGTGCCAAAGACATAACCAGCTCTGATCCTGTTACTCCTCCTTGTAAAAACATCCTCCAGCTTGAATGAGTTGCTGAGAGGATAAATCTTAACTTCTTAACAGAGAAAAGTCAGGCATTTCCCTCTCAGACTCATCTTCTGTGTCCCCTTCAACCACCCAGCCTAGGTCTCCAGGCTCCAACCAAAGAGAAGTTTCCCAGAAGTGGGGACTTTTTACTACTGCATCAGTGCCCTACTGCTGCATAACAAATGTCCCCACCACTCAGCAGTTTAAGTCAGACATTCATTATCTCAGTGTCCATGGATCAGGCATCCTGGAGTGGCTTAGCTGGATGACTCTGGCTCAGGGTGTCTTGTGAGGCTGCAGACAGGATGTCAACGAGGGCTGTGTCATCTGAAGGCCTGACTGACGAAGGAAAGTACTTCCAAGATGGCTCCTGGTGTCTACAAGAGTCCTCACATCATAGCCTCTGGCTTCCCCCAGGCGGAGTGACCTGGGAGAGCAGGGACTGAAGCCACATGCCTTTGGTGACCCCACATGCTAAGTCACACACCTTCACCACCAAGCTCAGTTCATCAGAGGAGTGTCAGTACACGCAGCCCACACATGGAGGGGAGAGTGTGGCCCCAGCCTTTAAAGGCAGGAATACCGAGGAGTTTAGGGACATGTCTCAGTATCGCCACCACTGCTGGGCTTTGGCAGCTCTTCGTTCTGTAAGAAATGCTTTCTTCTCCCTCCTTGGCCTCACAGACTCAACTATCAACCGGTGAGATTTTTGTAAGTTTCAGTGTCGCCTTTTCCCATTTGGTGATCATTTTTGTCTTGACCAGCATGGGCCCAGCCTTTGCCAGACTAAATGGGTGCCTTTGTGTGAATTTTTAGGTCGTATACTTTCCTAAAAATGTTTTATCTTTTGCCTGGGGAGAGGGAGGAAACCTGTCCTAACAAACTCCCAAAGCTCTGATGATTACGGTGCGAACAACGGCCCCAGAGTTGGACAGAAGGCCACACAGACGCCCAGAGCGCACAGCGGGTGTTTAATAAATGTTGCTGTGATATTTTGAACCTATTGCATTTTAGTCCTGTGCTAGTTACACCATAAATACTGTCACACTGAAGCCAAGCTGGTAGTTACTGTCCCATTTCAGAAGTGAAGGACCTCAGTTCCATGGAGATTAAGCTGCTTAACCAAGACCCCAGAGGAAGTAAGCGACAGAGTGGGACTTCAGCTCTGTTCTGTGACCCCAGCTCTGCCCCTGCCCGCAGCCCAACTCAGGACAAGGCCAGGCAGAGCGAGGAGTGTGTTGTACTTAAAAACCAAAGCGCCCTTCAATTCCTCTTGATAACTTTATCTGCCGCCTGTGTATACAAGCACGTCTGAGTCAGATTTTCAGCAATTTCACTCTTACCCAAATGGTAACCAGTAAAAATTGGAAGAAGACGTCCACTGTTCCAGCATAAGTAACTTACAGACCACTGAATTCAGAGAGACAAGGCTTAGACATCTTTTTTTCAGTTTCGAGTGTGCCGTTTTGAAACCCCACCCTTCCTTTTTTGATCAAGGACTTTTAGAAGGGCAGACAGTAGAAGGAAAGTTCTGGCCATGGGTCAACAAGCAGGAAACACGTTTTGATGATGTGGTGAATCAGCATCGCTCCCTGCTCCCACCCTCAGGGATGGATGTACACGGTGTGTCTTGACCACAAGATGCACTGGGACAGGAATAAACAGGTGGCGGGGGTTCCAGAGGCACGGCATAGATTCTTCACTCACAAAAGATGGCGCATCTCACTGCGATTTTGCAGTGTCAGATCTGCCTTGTCTGCTTCGCCCTGGGAGATGACTGAGCCTCCCACTGGCTCCCGTGCCGCCCTCCCCGACCTGCCGGGGGCCAGAGGCTCGGCGGCTGCACGTCTGGCTCTGGACAAGTCAGCCTCATGGAGGGCTTCTCAGCTCGCGCCCTGGCTGTGGAAGAAGCCCAGCAGAAGGGAAGTCCAGGGGGAGAGGGGTCTCAGCAGCCCTTTGGAGCCCCTTCCTTCAGTAACAGAGACTCATCTGCCTGGAAGTTTGCCTGCACCCCCTCATCTGTAAAATGGCAGGAACGCCAGCTGACACGCGTGTTTTTCCGTGGCCCTGGGGCTTTGTGACAGCACTGAGAGCTGTTCTGGGGGGACATCAGGATAAGATGTGAGGAGTGAAGGTTCAGGGAAGAGTGGGCCCCACTTGTCCTGCCAAGTAGGGGAGCAGGCAAGGCTGACGGGGGCCAAACACCTCACTGGAAGGGCTGCATGACCGGCTGCAGAGAGCACTCTAGTTGGGGAAAGAAATGACGTCTGTAAAAGGATCCTTCTCTGAATGCGAGGAATCGGGGTGTCAGGAGCTGGCAGAGCTGAGCGTGAGCAGGCACACACCACGCACAACGGGTAACGATGACACAGGCTTCCACTAGTTGGACATTTCACTCCTTTCACATTCACAAAACGACCTATCAGTTTGTCTTAGACGCAGTGCGAAGCCCGTTGTCACATTACTTCATGTTATTCTCACAAGAACCTTAGAAGTAAATTAGAATCCATTTTGACGATGAGAGATCTGAGGATAAAACAGCTTCTCAAAGGCACACGTCCAATAAGCGGGGAAAGTGAAATGCAAACCCGGGTGAATACAGTGCATCCTCAGACTCACGCTGTAGTGGATTTTCAGCACCTAGCGTGGTAGGAGCCATTCCTGCTCCTTTGCAGTAAGCTGTGTTGCAGGATATTTCTCAGAAGCTTAAAGCACGATTGCGTGTGCTGGTTTGATTCTTCCATACAGTGAGTGTCTCAAAACTATTCATTACACTTGATCACGCTAGGACTGAAACTTCTGCGTTCCTCTGAGAGATATTAGTGATAATTGTCTCTCCCCCACTTATTTTACAGTGGAGGAAACAGATGCAGAGAAATGAGGTGGTGGGACTCAGCAAGGGTTGTAGCACAGTTAACTGGCAGATGGGGCCAGAACAGAGACCAGTGCCCTCCACCCTCTCTAAGGACCAGAGCCAGGGAGCAGCGGGACCACTGACAGCTCCATCATGCGACTTGATTAGCGTACACTCTGTTATTCTTATGCGGTGTTCCTTATCTCAAAAACGATCAGATATTTAATGAAACTTCAATTAGAAGACTTTCTGTTGATATACATTAACCATTTTTCAATTAACCCTAGCAGATATAAAATACTTTTTAAAAATTAAGACATTTCTTTAAGGAAGTTATTGGCAATTCAGGAAATAATTACCACTATTTTAATATAATTGTAATGCCTCC